TCTGCAGATTAATCTTTCTGAAGTACTCTCTTTTTGGTGGCTCCAAATGTAGTTCATCTTAAGAAAATAATTTTCAATTTAGCATTCCAAACCTTATCTAATACAATTTCTTAGGAATAACACAAGATGAAATAGAAAATGATGAACTGTCCAATATTTATTAAAGACATTGAATTTGTTTGTATATATAGATGTTGTTGTTGTTAAGTGCCATCAAGTAGTTTCAGATTCCAAGCAACCACAGAGTTTCCAAGGAGCAGCTGGTGGGTTTAAACTATTGACCTTACAGTTAGCAGTCCAGTGCTTATCCTACAGTTCCACACCAGGACTCACTTTATACATATTTTTATAGCTATACTGCTTTCTATAGCAATTGTACCACTTTATATCTATATAAATATGTCTAGGTATATTTATATAGGTATGTATAGGTATATATACTACCTATATAAATATACCTAGACATATTTATATAGATATAAAATGGTACAATTGCTATAGAAAGCAGTATGACACTTGCTTAAAAAATTAGTAATAGAGATATCATATGATCCAGCAATCTCACAACTAGGTATATATCCTAGAGCAATAAGAGCTGTGATCTGAATAGATATATGCACATCCATGTTCATTGCTGCATTATTCACAGTAGCAATAAAGGAAATGACCTAAGTGTCTGTCAACATATGGATGGATGAACTATGACATATATACACACTGGAATATTTCACATTAAAGAATAATAATGAATCCATAAAATATCCGACAACATAGATGAACCTGGAGGACATTATGCTGAGTGAAATAAGTCAATCTGAAGACAATGCTATATGAGACCACTACTATAAAAAGTCAAGAAAAGCTTTATTGTATATCTAGGCATATAGTAGAGCACATGCGTGTGAAAACTATGCAAACTTAGTACTGCTATAAGGGACTGAGTCACTGGGCTTGAGGGCTTGGGACCATAGTCTCAAGGGCATCTATATCATTTGGCATAGTCCATAAAGACAATGTTCTATATTCTATTTTAGTGAATAGTGACTGGAGTCTTCAAAACTTGTGAGCAGCCATCTAAGATACAACTATTGGTTTCTTCTCATCCAGAGTGAAAAAAATCAGACAGAAGGAAAAAATTAGTACAAAGAAGTAATGGGGATGGGCAATCTAGACATTGGCTATCAAAAATAGGGGCTATTATTAAAGGCACAAAACGGCTGGCTTGCAAGCTTTCATGAATGTGCTTAGTTTCTGAATGAGGAGGGTAAGGTGGAATCCCCACTGAAGAGTTTTCCTCTTCTCCAGATGGATCTGATGAAAAGGGATGAGGGTTAATAGAGACAGGATTTTATTATTCAAATGTGAGTGATTGTTAGCAGAATTGATTATGATTGTCACCGCTGTGGTTGTAGAAGATGTGTGATTGGAAGAGCGTATAGTTGATCTTTCATTTTGGGAACAAATGAACCCAGGACCATCAGGAAAGAAGAGCATGAGTGGAGCCAGTGATCCCGCCTGGAAGTGCAAGGACAACAGAGACGGTGACAGAAGCGATGGCGTGGAGAGATAGAGCAGCTGTGGGCAATAGCCCCATGGACAGAGTGGGGCTATGTGCCTGCAGACAGGAGGCTGGCTTACAGAGTATGCCTTTGGGGCATTGAAATGAATATCTGTTTTTTTGTTTTGTATGTGTACATAAACTATTTTTGCTTTGTTCATTTGTGAAGTATAAGATGTGAAGGAGAAGCCACAGGGAAGAAGTAGAAGAACTGCTGTTGCAGGAGGGGATTGTAATCATTGAGATGAAACAAAGCATATGGTTTGTTGAATGCAGGGCTGGTGATCTTGTTTGTTAACCTTCACTTAATTTACAACATAAAGTTAAAAAAAATACAAAAACAAAGAACTAGCAGTCCATGTGAACCCACAGCCTCCACAATCCTGAGACCAGATGAACTAGATGGTGCCTAGTTATCAATGCTGAAAGGGATCACAATAGGAAGAAGTCCTGTACAGAGTAAAGGAAAAATATGAAACAAAACTCAAAGACAAGACTTACTGGTCTGATATAAACTGGTGAAACATCAGAGACTAGGTCCCATAGACACCCTTCAGGCCTAGGACTGAGCTCACCCCAGTTGCTCAACTTTAGCCAAACAATAGACAGGCCTATAAAGTAGGGTGAACAGTAACAACAGAGAGGTATGAACTCTTTAAAACAATCAACCATTCAAAGGCAGCATTTCCCTATGGATAACACTCAGAAGGCAGGGAGGGATGGGAAAGAAGGATGAATGGAAGGTAAATACAGGAAGGAAGTGGGGAGAACATTGTTACATTGTGGGAATTGCAGTCCATATCACAAAATAAAATGTGTATGAATTGTTGACTGGAAAACCAACTTTCCCTATAAACTTCTTTCATCCAAATTACAATTAAAAAGTATAAAAATAAATAAAGGAACTACAGCCTCTACTAGGAGACCTGATGCCATTGTAGGATAACCAATAGACTGTTCACTGCAAGACTGGCAGTTCAAACCCACCAGCTACTCTATGGAAGAAAGTTGAAGCTTTCTGCTTCCATCGCCTTGGAAACACTTACGGTGTTGCTGTGAGTCGGGATTGACTTGATGACAACAGATACAGCCTCTACTATCCTGAGACCAGAAGAACTAGATGATGCATAACTACCACTCCCAAATGCTATGATCAGAATCACAGTAAAAAGTCCTGTATAGTGTCGGAGAAAAAGGTAGAACTAAATTCAAAGTTATAATAGTTAAAAAAAAAAAAAAAATACACCAAACTTAATGGTCTGATTGAGACAGGTGGAACCTCTGCGATATCCTTCAAACCTGGAATTGAACCCACTAAAAGTTTCCCAATTATCCTCACACAATTGTTGCATGCCTTCCTTTTATTGGAATGCTCTCTGCCTCAACAAGTCCTTTGGGTGGATAAGAGGGAGAATTCATGGAAGAACTAAAGCCTGTTGTTGTAGTTAAGTGCTGTCAAGTTGGTTCTGACCCATAACGACCCTGTGTAGGGTTTCTGAGGAGCAGCTGGTGAGCTTGAACCACTGACCTGTGGTTCAAACGACTTTGTAGCCCAGCACATTGGCCCACAGTGCCCCAACTGAAGCCTAGACCCTGTTACTGGTCACCTTTATCCAAAAACAACAGTTTGAGAAGTCAGCACAAAAAAATAGAACAAGCCAATGGTTAGAATTGTCCATTGACATTAAGGTCAGCGTAGTGTACACAAGAGTAAAGGGCTTTCCTAACTCAAAACTGAAAAGCATTTCCACTTAGCAGTGAAATACAATAACAACTGAGGAAAATGCAGAGGAAGTGAGACAAAAAATGAAAAATAACAGTAGCAGAATACCAACAAGAATATGCCATTCAGTTCTTCAACAAATGTATTTTTTTAGAACCTACTATGAGCCGTTTGATATCCCATGTGAGTAAAGTTTGACTAAAGGTAATATGAAACAGCTGCAAGCATACATTGACAGAGAGTTTCCAGAGTTTCAAGTCAGATTCAGAAGAGGCCGTGGAATGAGGGATATCGTTGCCGATGTCCCATGGATCTTGGCTGAAAGCAGAGAATACCAGAAAGATGTTTACCTGTGCTTTATTGACACCGCAAAGACTTTCAATTGTGTGGATTGTGACAAGCTATGGATCACTTTGCGAAGTATGAGTATTCCGAAACACTTAATTATGCTCATGAAGAATCTGTACCTGGACCAAGAAGCAGTTGTTCGAACAGAACATGGGAACGCTGAATAGTTTAAAATTAAGAAAGGTATGTGGCAGGGTTGTATTCTTTCACCATATTTATTCAACCTGTATGCTGAGCAAATAATCCGAGAAGCTGAGTTATATGAAGAAAAAAATGTGGCATCAGGATTGGAGGAAGACACATTAACAACCTGCGATATGCAGATGATACAACCTTGCTTGCTGAAAGTGGAGAGGACTTAAAATCCTTACTGATGAAGATCAAAGAACATAGCCTTTGGTATGGATTGCATCTCAATGTAAAGAAAAAAATCCTCAACACTAGACCAATAAACAACATTCTTATCAATAGAGAAAAGATTGAAGTTGTCAAGGACTTCATTCTTCTTGGATCAACTATCAACACTCACAGAAGCAGCAGTCAAAAAATCAAAGGACGTATTGCATTAGGCAAATCTGCTGCACAAGACCTTTTTAAAGTGTTGAAGAACAAAGATGTCAGCTTGATGACTAAGGTGTGCCTGACCCAAGCCATGGTATTTTCAATAACCTCATATGAATGCGAAAGCTGGACAATGAATAAGGAAGACCATAGAAGAATTGATGCATTTGACTTATGGTGTTGGAGGAGAATATTGAAAGTGCCATGTGCTGCCAAAAGAAAAAACAGTGTTGGAAGAAGTGCAGCCAGAGTGCTCCTTGGAGGCCAGGATGGCCAAACTTTGTCTCTTATACTTCAGACATATTGTCAGCAGGGACCAGTCATTGGAGAAGGACATCATGTTTGGTAAGGTGGAGGGTCAGAGAAAAAGAGGAAGACCTCCAGTGGGATGGATTGGCAAAGTAGCAGCATCAATGGGCTCAAGCATGGCAACAATTGTGAGATTGACCCAGGATCTGGCAGTGTTTCGTTCTGTTGTGCATAGGGTCACTATGAGTTGGTAACGACTCAGTGGCACCTAACAGCAACAACAATGAGCCAAAGGGGAAGAAATGCTCAGCATTTTTCATGCCAAAAGAACTGTGAAAAAAAAAAAAGGAGAAAAATGCAAGTCTTGATTTGCAGTGTTGAAGGATTCAATGGGAAAAATATTGAATGATATACAAAATACCAAAAGAAGATGGAAGGAATACCCAGAGTCACTGTTCCAAAAAGAACAGGTCGCTGCTCAGTCATTTTAAGAGATATCATACATATAATCAAGAACCTATGGCATTTGGGGAGAAGGGAAGGTGGAATCTGGCCGGCAACATGGTGCTGTCCGCATTTCTGTGCCCCTTCTCTCAGCTGATGACCCTGGTTCAGCTCTCTAGTGGCCTTTCAGTGAGGTCAAAGTTCTATGTTTGGGAACCACCAAATACCAAGCCTGACTGGTTGAAAGTTAGACTGACCTTGGGCTGGTCAGTCTTCCTGTGGGTCTGTCTCATCAATCAGCATAATGAAAATGGTTTTGAACATAAAAGAAGAAATGGATTGGCATAAACTATTGAAATATTATTATAGTATGGACCATACAATAATTACAGCAATTCTTCTGGATTCACCAATTTTTTATAGTAAATGAGAGAGGAATAAGTTATATATGAATATATATTGTCAACATTTGTGTGTTGCATCATTAAGTGGGAAAATAAAAAGAGTTCTGTATTCTTTAGTTATTACATATTGTGATAAGTTGCCAAAAACATCAGTTCTAAGGTACAGTATTAGAAATATTTCAACAGAAAGGTACATTGTGTTAAATGTGCAAGTTGAAAATTTTAATCAATTAACAAAGTACAATATGAAAAATAGATAAATAAATAAGGCTCCAGGAACTGACGGAATATCAACTGAAATATTTCTACAAACTGATGTAGCTCTGGAGGTGTTCAGTCACCTACGTTAAGAAGTTTGGAAGACAGCTACCTGGTCAACCAATTGGAAGAGATCCACATTTGTGCCTATTTCTAAAAGAAGTGACCTAATGGAATACAGAAATCATCAAACAATATCATTAATATCGCATGCAAATAAAATGTATCTGAAGAGAATTCAAAAACAGTTGCAGTAGTACATCAACAAGGAGCTGCCAGAAATTCAAGCCAGATTCAAAAGAGGATTTGGAATGAGGGCTATCATTGCAGATGTCAGATGGATAACATTGCAAACAATTACTATTCCAGAACACTTAATTGTGCTCATGAGGAAACTGTACATAGACCAAGAGGCAGCCCTTCAAACAGAATAAGGGGATACTGACTGGTTTAAAATAAGAAAAGGTGTACACCAGGGCTGTATCCTTCCACTATAGATATTCAATCTGCATGCTAAGCAAATAATCCAGAAGCTGAATTATATGACGAGCATGGCATCAGGATTGAAAGACGACTCATCAATGAATTGCGATATGCAAATGATACTACCTTGCTTGCTGGAAATGAAGAGGAGTTAAAATACCTACTGATGAAAATCAGAGACTACAGCCTGCAGTATGGATTGCACCTCAATGAAAACAAAACAAAAAACACTCACAACTGGACCAATAAACAACATTATGATAAATGCAGAAAAGGTTTAAGTTTTCAAAGACCTCATTTTGCATGGATCCACAATCAACACTCATGGAAGCAGCAGTCAAGAAACAAAATGACATATTGCATTAGGCAAATCTGCTGCAAATGACCTCTTTAAAATGTTCAAGAGAAAGCTGTCAGTCCGAGGAGCTAAAGTGTGCCTGACCCAAGTCTCATATGCATGTGAAAGTTGGACAATGAATAAGGAAGACCATAGAAGAATTGCTGCATTTGAATTATGGTGTTGATGAAGAATATTGAAAGTACCATGGACTGCAAGAAGAACAAATGAATCTGTGTTGGAAGAAATATGGTTAGAATGCTCCTTAGAAGCCAGGATGGCAAGCCTTTGTCTCTCATTCTTTGGACATTGTGTCAGGTGGGATCAGGCCCTGGAGAAAGACATCATGCTTAGTAAAGTGGAAGGTTAATTAAAAAGACGGATTGACACAGTGGCAGCAACTATGGACTCAAACATAACAATTGTGAGGATGGTGCAGGACTGGGCAGTGTTTTGTTCTGTTGGGCATAGTGTCCCTATGAGTTGAACCAACTCCATGGTACCTAACAACAAAGAACTATGAGTCTAGCATTGTGTCAAGCATTGGGTAAACACCTGGTAGTCCCTGCCTTTATGGAACTTGCAGTTTTATATATTGTTCTTTAGTTTTCTGAATGAAAAGCAAGAATGATGATAGAGACCTAGTTTTTAATTGATGGCTATTCTGAGGAATTCATTTTCTTGGCAGGATGAGGAGAAAACAGCTAACAGGGTAGGGACCATTCTGGAAAGTTGTCAAGTTCTGTGAGCAGACAGACAGAAGACAGATGTAGCTGGTGGGTTGAAGAGATAGTTGAGGATTCGACTGTGCAGGGCCTTCTTTGACTTGGAAGGAGTTTAAATTTTATTCTAAATGCAGTGGGATACTATTGGAGAATGATTAAGAAAGAATTGAGGTGACCCTAGAATCATACTTTAAAAGGCATTATCTGCTCCAAGATTCAACTGACATTTATTGAGCATCTCTGAGCCCAGCACTCTTCTAAGCATTTTCATATCCCATTTCATTTCACACAGACCTGGGAGAGATGTGCTATCATCATCACCTTCTTACTGCTGAAGAAACGGATGCTCAGAGAGGTTTAGAGAGTTGCCCAAGACCATAAAACGCAGATAGTATTGGATTACCCAATAAGCAAAGTAAGGATGCGTTTGCTTGTACTTACTAATCTGTA